GCGTCGCTACAATATAAATTAGTGTACAAATAATAATTAAAATAGAAATATAGAAATAAAAAATAATTTTTTTTTTGTATGACATACTTATAAAAGTCTTCAATTACTTATTATCGTGTATAGTGGAAATAGGAAAAAAAGATTAGGGAAATACATTTTTTTAGAATAATTTATAACATTATTTGCTAATTTACGGTCTTTTTGAATCCAGATTTTTAGGCTATTTTTGTATCGACTGTACAACGGAATGTCCTTTATTTCTTGAGGTACAAAAATAAAGATTCTAGAAGCCCAGGTAATCACTACATCTTTGGCCAATACTTTTTTCTGATCACGGAAATAAAATAGCTTCAGGTCGACGTGTATTGTAGGGATGGTCATGAGGTTTTAACATAATTTTAGATATATTTAAAAATAATAGAATTTGTAAAAAGTATAGATGTGTCATATCATATGTATTAGAATTTTCGTAAAGTGCGTTACTAAGATTTAAAATATTTTTTTTGTAATTATTCTTAAAATCCATTTTTATATTAGATGGAACATCTGTCAATGTGTCATACACACCTCCCTAACCAATGATGCCGTATACTAATAATTAAAGAAAAATAGAGACCTCAAGCAGTGTATGTTTAGAAAGTCACATATATATCTAAATTTTAGTAAAAACTCTCTAAACTTTTTTATAAGCTGTTTTAAATGAAAGTTCTATTTCATATACCTGTCCACATTAATCTCTAAATATTTAATTGATGTAGATTCACAAACTTGAATATTCAATCCCACATTTAATGGACCCAATTTGGGAAGGCCTGTTGCATAAGAAGAAAATGGTAAGTATCTAGTTTTCTGATAATTTAATGTTAATATATTAATCTGTAGCCATTTAGATATTTTAGGTAAATCACTTTCCACTTTATGTTTCAGGTCCTTCCATGAAGATGAAGAGTACAGAACAGCAGTATCATTAACGAAACTAATAATTTTAGCGGATGTATCTAAGTGTAGTAGGCTATTTATTTAGATTGTAAAAAGAACCGGTCCCAAAACAGTACCTTGTGGGACACCAAAGGTTACGATTTGTTTGTTACAATTAACATTGTCAATTTGCATCAACTGTTTTGATAGATAACTTTCAAAGATACTGAATGCTTTTCCACGAATTCCATATTTTTCCATTTTTCCAACAATTTCTTGTGACAGTGTTAAAGGCTTTTGATAGATCGAGAGATACACTAAGTATATGTATTTTTTTATGTAACGCATCATGTACGGATAAGGTTAATTTATAGATAGCATCAGTAGATATTCCCTTTGTAAATCCATACTGATTATTCGATAGAATGTTGAATTTATTTAGAAAACAGTCCCTTTTAATTATTTTTTCCAGAATCTTTGATAAATTTGGCAAAAGAGATACTGGTCTATAATTACCAAAATCAAGTTTACTGCAAGTTTTGTATAGAGGTTTTATTACAGAACACTCCAGTACTTCTGGAAAACACCGTGTATCTAGACTTTTATTTATTAAGAAAGTTAAAGGACGAACAATTTCTAAATCAATTTCCTTTATAGTTTTTGCCCTTATTTAATCAATACCTGGAGTTTTTTTGTTTTTAAGATTCTTTATAATTTCTATCATTTCTAACTGATCAGTTGGAGACATATACATAGTGTTTTCCATGAAGTCTAAATTGTCCTTGTAAGTATGTTATTCTACTGGCCAATACTTCACCTATAGTGCTAAAATATAAAGTGATTAGCAATGTCATCCTTTTCAGTAACCTTTGTTCCATCATTTAATTTTATTTCATAAATTTTTATTTTATGTCTCAGTTTTCCACAAATATCATTCACACAGTCCCATGAAGCCTTATCCGTATGCAATAGTATAATTTTTATCTCTTTTACTAATACATTTACAATAATTATATAAACAAATCGATATCATAACAAAAATATCACTACAACGGCAAAACTAGACTATTTACATATATACAACATGTGGCTTCTAGAATATTCCAGAAATCTTCAGTCTAGAGAATTGGCACCTCTTAGACTATAATATTTCGACGAATTCACAATTTTATAGACTAGTGCATTCACTAAGAGCCCTATCTTGACGGCGATAGAATAGAATTATCCCTGGGGAGAGTACCTTGACTTTCTTCTACCACTGTTGTATCTTGATTTAGTAAGGATGGAGAAGAAATTCGATTTTCACAAAAATTAAACTGAACAATTAATTACAATCTTTCGTCTCAGTGACACCGTCATTAAATTTTCATATCAGAAACTCTGAATGTCCAGATCTATGTTAAAATTCATCGTACCCTCCAGTTTCTGTTCTGTTACAAAATATTATTGCAAGCTTTATGTTTTACTGGGAACAGCTTTGCTACCGGTTTTTTAATAGAAACGTTCTCAAGAATGTTTTTTGAAATTTCAGTAGAACTATGTCCAATTTCTGTCAGTTGTTTCACTCTAATTTACTCTAGTAAGGCCCCCTGAGTCGCCTCTAGATGCTTCGTCATCACTGCAGTATATTCTAGGTAGATGACTTATTTTGACTAATGGCAGTGTGGGATAGAGATTTCGGAAATTGATTTATTACATCGAATATTCTTGGTTACAAGAAAAATAGAGGCCGTAAAAGACCCAAATAGGGCAGAGAAGGACTTAAGTTATTAGAGCAGGATTGGACTGGTAATTTAAGCGTGACTATCTAACTTTTAAGTAAATGAAAAATGTTGTTACTCACGAAATACCTCGTATAAATCAAATAATTAAAACTGTTTTTTGATTTCTCTTCATTAGCTCTCTGTATACTTATTTATGAATAAAAATTTTAGAAGTAGAGTGCAGACTTTTTTATTCCATGTATTCTCCAATGTTATCTGTTCATGAAACGAAAAAAACTTTTACGTCCGGTGATCAATCACACCGTTTGATTCGAATGGGACAGGAAGAAAGGTTCGCGAAGCGAAGTAAATCCGGTTTTAGCGAGCTTTGTGTATAAATCTTTCACGCAAATTAACCGATATCACCTATTTTTATCCTCTTTTATTGTTAATGCGACCGTTTGTCCGCAGTAGACTTTTAAAAAAATGAATAGGGAATCGTTAGCATTGAATTCGTTAGACATTATGCAAAATGGGAACAAATGTAGTTAGGGTTGCCAGATTTACGAAAGTAAAAAGCTTGACAACCGTGACGACAGAGCATTTTTATATAATCAGGTCCATTAATTGTGAAATTTCTAAAATAAAAGGTCCTCGGCTTGTATTTTTCGTAAACGAGGGTCCTTAGCCGATATTTTATCTAAAAAAAAAGGATTTCACCTTATATTTTTCTATAAATCCAGTTCCTCCTATTTATTTACGACTTTGAATAAAACGCGTGGTATTTGCAAAATTTGTACCCCTGCGTTAAGCCTACAAGCAAGTCAGAAAGCGTGGAAAATACGTCAAAAGCCTGACGTCTGGGAACCATACAGTGTGGAAAAGCCAAATGGAATAAATTCATTATTTCGATTACTGTACATATTTATAGAAAATCCCGAAACACGTCAAATTTAAATTATAAATTGATATTCTTTAAAGTGAAAATGTGATCCCTACCTTCAACCCCCTTTGAGTAACAGTTACAACCCCTAATTTTTTAAATGGGAAGTATAGGCTTGTGATATATCGTTTGAAAGGTCTCTTCATTCTCTATCCAAAAATGTTATTGTTTTTAAAGGACAATAAGGATAAGTTATATATCAGTTAAAAGATCATTTTAAGAAGAACATTTCTCTTCATTACGACTCATCTCAATTACTTGTCCGTTCCGAGTTATACCATCCTAAATGTAACTAATTAGTAATTGCACGATAGGCCAGTGCTTATATTCTGTTATTGTAGTGCTTATTACAGGATAATAATAGTAATTATTACTTTTTAGTAATATATAAACAATTATAATATCCGGGTATATCATAAGATGCTGTCGAGGATTTTATCCGCCACGTGTATCCTTTACCAAATGACCTCTACGTGTTGGTTACACAGCATTTTAGATTTTGGACCATGCAGAACTTTTTATCAACAATAATTTTTTTCAGGAAACCAATATTAAAAAAGTTTTCCATATGGTTTCAACTTAAGTATACACACTGTATAACTCGGAACGGACAGACAATTGAGAGAAGTCATAATAAAAACAAATGTTCCCCTTACCGATATCTTTCATTTGGCATACATCTTACTCCTATTGGGAGGTGGGGCAAAACTGCCCATTCTCCTTTATTGCATAACCGTAGAAAACATCATTTCAATTGCTTTTTTTATTAAATTTTAAAAACGAAAAGTCCTCGTACTTGTACATCAAAATTAAATTTAGAACGGACATTCATAATCTGAACTTACGTTCAAAAAATCAAATTGCTATTCCTCCTCACAACAAAGAGGTATATAAGTCTGCCTTTACATATCAGCTGGTCAAAAATTGTTTCAACAGGAATAGTTGCTTAATAGTAACATAATTTTAAATTTATAATTTTTATTTCTTTTTCTTTTTTTTTATTTCATCCTCATCCTCAAGGATGGTGAGGAACAATTGGTCCTATCACCACTCCTTTTGTTTACCATCGTTAATTATTGGCTTTAATATTTATCTGTGATGTATATTTATTTTATGTGGTAAACAATAAACGATTTATTGTTATTTATTATTATTATATTTAAAATACTGGAATTGCATTGCAAGTAATTTAAATTAACTGTCGCTTAAGCTATGATATTTTTACTCTCCCGTATCCAAACTATTATAAGTCACACACGAACCGTTTAAAAAAGAATAACAATTCCAATAATGATTTATTGCTTTTTTCAATAGAGTCCAGCATAGTGAATAATTCTGATTCATTTGCATTGTATATGCCAGTCATAAAACGGCGTGCTTGGAAAATGGGAACGGGCGGAAATCGAGAAAAACTGACGGTTATCCTTTTGTTTCAGATTCATGTTGGTGCTCGTCTGTTTGATATTCAGCGTACTTTCAACAATCGATACATATTCCAATTTTGCCAACGAAACACTATTTTGGATGGTAAGTTGGTTTTCCATTTTTAGAACTTTAATTAAAATGTTTTTTTAGCGATTTTTTATTTTTGTCAGATATTTTAAAAATTAATAAATGTTATTGAAGCACATTATAGTATAGTTAAACCAGAGATCTAGTGACTACCATAAAACAGCAGGTGATTTACTTATCAGCAGGCGGCCGTCTCTACGCAGAGACGTACTTACTCTAGGTCAATAATTGGGGTAAAATAAATATTAACAAAAATCGCTATAATTCAGAATTGTTTATTTAATTATACAGTGTGTAAAAAAGTAATGTGGTAACTTGGTAAAAGCAAAAATTAGTATGACAAAGTACAAAAAAGTAGGTAGGTAATAAAAGTACTAAAAAGTAAAAATAAAATAATTAAAAGTACAAAATGTAGCTTGAATATATAAAATATAATTATTAAAAGTATAAAGTGGTAAAATGGTAAAAGTAAAAATCGGTATGACAAAGTACGAACAAGTAGCTAGGTCATAGTGATTGTGTCTACCCTAACATTGTGGAATCTATTTAAAATAAATAAAATAATAAAAATGAAATGTAAAAATTCCACTATTGTCAATTCTGACGATAGAAGTTTATGCTTCTGAAACAATTGTCGATTTTGAATTACTTAGATAAGTATTTTTATTAATGTAGTGGAATTTTTACATTTCATTTTCTAATATTTTATTTATTTAAACAAATTTAAATAAACAGCGTTATTAGCAAAAATAGAATCACATATATTTTCCAAACTGTTCAAAAATACAGCATTAGAACTTGATGGTGAATGGTAGAGACAACCCATTAACCACTGATAACCACTAAGATCAAGTTTTATTACTTTGCACCAATAATTTGGCTCAAGCACAAAGGTCTTAGCATATGTTCAATTGGGTTAAACATACAGTGGTAAGGAGGAAGTCTGAGTACCGTATGTCCCAAGCTCTCAGCTAATGTGTCAGAAAAACATTTCTTTTGTATTGAATAGCTTTTAAAAACTGCCAGTAACTCCTTTTTTGTGTACTTTTTCTCAAAGTACAAATCATTGTTTACCATGTAATCTTGTATGATGGCTTTTATGTCGTTTGAACTAGGTGCCTTATATAGTCTTCGACTGTGGTAGCTGGTATTATCCATGACGATAACACTGTTCGGTGGAATATTTGGCAAAAGTTTAGTTTGGAACTAATCTTCAAATAATTCGGCAGTAGTGTCATCATGGTAATCGACTAAGGGGTCCTTAATATTTTTTGCCTGTAACGACAACGCATTAGGTAAAAAACCATTATTGGTTCCTACGTGTATTATAGTAATACATTTGCCTTTATTATGTGGCGCATTAGTCTGGCACATGTCAGATGAGCCTACCCAACTTTTGTTTGGAATATCGTGTGTATCGAATCAAGTTTCATCCAAATACACAACTGTTCTGCCAGCTTCTCTAAAATTATTTATCGCCAATAAATATTGAAATCTCCATTGCTTAAGGCGCACAGATTCCATTATGACCTTTCTGCTGTTATTAAATTTTTTAAATTTACACCCGTTTCTCAAAAGAGACTTCCTTAAAGTTTCTTTGCTACACTGGATGCCAGTTTCGTCCTTTTCAAGTCGTTGCATTAATATATCTAGTGTAGGCACAATTTGCTCTCTATACAAGTCATATATTTCCCTTCGAATTAGGTTACAGCCATCTAGATTCTTTGAAGTACTAGAGTCTTTTCTTTTCCTCCTTTTTAAATACGGCGTTTTCGTTAAAAAGGCTGTTTCTCGCACTGCTTGAGTCATTCCACGTTCCATAAGGGAGATATAAACACTTAAAAATTTTTCCCATAAACGTGTAAAACTTGTCAATTAGTGGTATTACCACCACCAGTTGAAGTAGTGGTTGCAGATTTAACCCATGGATGAAACATTTTTCACTATATAAAATTTTTAAGACACTTCGAAATAAACGCAACTGACACAACGGAATATTCGTTAATGACTGAATTTAGTTTAACTACTATCCTCCTTTCGTTTCTAAAAACGGTAATTAGTCAGTTCTCAAAACAGTTACATACCAAATAACTCCCCATTATTTAACTTTCTCTAATCTGTCTGGATTTAGAGGACTCGATATCTTAAACAATAGTATTCTTGTCTTCAAAGTCTAGTAATTTATTTGTAACTATATATCCCATTATCGCTAATCTGCTTAATAGACGTTTAGTACAGAAAGTCAGGTGGTCAGGCAAGTAAATTTAAAAGTACTATAAATTCTAGGAAATTTTTTATTATAAAAATAGTTTTACATTCAAAACTGTTAACAATTGAAATAGAGAGCCCTCAATTATAATATTATTAAAAAAAAAACATATTCTTTACTATTTCATGAGAATATATATTTTAATCCGGACCTGGGTATCTTTTAACCAACAGACAATTTTATCGCTTATCTACAAATCGAACAATAGTGATAATGAGGGTCGTCGGCTAATATGATTTATGAGAGTCACTAGATCTCTTGTTTTACTATACAAACCTTTTAACTACATACGTATGTTTCCGAACATTGAAATATTTAATGCGAATGTCTTTCTCGTCTTCAAGACTTGGTAATTTGCATTTTATCTCAGAGTTTTATTATCATCTGGAGGCACGACTAATTTGATTGGTCGAATTTTATTGCCTTGAGGGTTTCCAAGTCGTATAATCTTAAGTATAGCTTGAAATGTATTACTAATTTCTTCAAAATCAATTTAGTTTAAGCCCATAGTTTCAGAAAACCCAAATACCGTAATATTTCTCTTTTTCCTTTCCTCTCAGAAATTTGCTAAACTATTTATTGACTCAAGACCTCTATCTCGGTAATATACATACAATTTATCTATTAGGAAATTGGCAAACTGCACATATTTTACCAACTGACAAACTCAACAGATTTTTCCGTAGAGGTTATGAAACGAAATGTAGACTCAACACGTAAATTACATTTTTGAAATGTCTAGAGGAAATGTCTCTAGATTCATTAATTTCTAATTTTAATCTAATATTAAATAAAATAATTTCATGATCCCTTATTTTTGGAATAAGTTTAAATTTCGGTTGCATTATAAGATTATCATTAAATATTATTTATTAAGTAATCCAGTAGAGTGGATGAATAATGATTTATGAGGGTTGCTTCCTTTATAATTTGTTGATAAATAAATCTTTGAGCAAAATTAAATGTACAGTAATATCGGAGATCCCCTCTGTAAACTAAAGGTATCTATGTATTACTAGATTTTCTCTGTTTAAGGACAATCAGGGCCGACTAGAGGGGGGTAGCCGGGACTAATTCCCGGGGCCTGGGCTTAAATGGGGGCCCGGTAACGTTGTAAGGGGGCCCGACAACAGCATTTTGTGTTCTGCATGAGAAATACGACACAAGATGAGAGTGGGAAGTTAAGTTTCGGCTGTTTTTTTTTTTATTAGAAGAAGAAGAAGCAATTGAGAGGTAGGGAGAATAGGTTTTTGATGTGAGGACTTTTTTTTTTGTTAGAAGAAGCAATTGAGAGGCAGGGAGAATAGCTTTTTGATGTGAGGACTTTTTTTTTTAGAATAAGTAATTGAAGTAGGGAGAACTGTTTTTCGTTTCACGGGGCCCGATCTAGAGAAGAGAATTGTCCTGGGGCCTGGCCTGGCTCTCAGCGGCCCTGAGGACAATGTGCAAATGCCAAAGTGATATAATCACTTATCAATACTATGTAACTATGCAAAATTCATGGTTCTTATTGCTGTTATAAAGGGTTTTCCAATAAGAGGTGTTATTTTGAATAGCCCGCTATTTCGGTAGATGTCACTTTTGGAGCTGTCATGTTTTGACATTTGACAAGTAGAAACTACGCCATTAATAAAAATGGAACGATACACGCTTCAACAACGCATTGAAATTATTAAAATTCACTATAAAAATTGTGAAAATTTGGCGGAGACGGTTCGTAAAACATTTTTGGGTCGTCGTGAAGCACCTTGTCGGACCGCAATACAGAAATTGGTGGAAAAATTCGAGCTGTTGGGACAAGTTAGTGATGTGAAGAATAAAACCCGTGCACGTCGCTCAAGAACAGCCGAGAATATTGCTGCTGTAGCCGAAAGTGTTGAAGAAAACCCAGGTTTGTCCATTCCTCGTCGTTCTTTGGAATTACACATTCCAAAAACGTCATTACACCGTATTTTGCATAAAGATTTGGGTCTTAAGGCCTATAAAGTTCAGTTAAAACAAGAACTCAAGCCGGCCGATCATCAACAACGTCGTGTCTCTGCCGATTGGGTCCTTGAAATGCATGAAAATGATCCGGAATTCCATCGAAAAATCATCTTGAGTTCGGAAAACCCAAGAGTTATTGTTGAAAAGCCTCTCTATCTTCAACGTGTGACTGTTTGGTGCGGTTTATGGTCCGGCGGAGTCATTGGACCTTACTTTTTCGAAAATGAGGCTGGAGCACCAGTTACGGTGAATGGATTGCGCTATCGAGAGATGATTAATGATTTTTTATGGCCGGAATTGGATGGTATTGATCTGGACGTTTACTTTCAACAAGACGGCGCTACGTGCCACACAAGCAACGAAACCATTGATCTTTTACGGGAAAAGTTTCCGGACCGTGTTCTCTCGGAGAGGTGATCACAATTGGCCACCGAGATCTTGTGATTTGACACCTTGCGACTTCTTCCTTTGGGGCCACGTGAAAGAGGAGGTCTACGCCAACAGCCCAGCGTCGATTCAAGACCTCAAAGATGGAATTCGTGAGGCTATCGAGGACATAGGGCAGCCACTTTGCGATTTGGTTATGGAAAATTTCATGAAAAGGATATGGTCCTGCAGGCGTGGTCGTTTATAATGAAATAAACATCCGATCATTTATCTCAAAAAATGGCATTTTCCTTTGAATATCAAAATAACACCTCTTATTGGAAAACCCTTTATAATGATTTATACAATCAAGTAAATGTTATTTATTGATGTC